GCACACAGTGCCTTTTACCTCCAACGTTTGCAGGGGAAAAGCTTCAGAAAGGTTCATGTTGAAAGATAAGTTGTTTAAATTGACCACGGCTGCTCTTTAATATGGCCAAGGATGGGTTACAGATATTTGTTCAGCTTCATGAATGCTTTCTCTAGGTCACTGTCAGTTAAGCCTAGCCTTCTTTACTTCTTACATGAAAACACGTCAACAGCCTTTTCCTCCTAGGAACCCAGTCACCTGGACTTTAGTATTTAAAGCAGATACGTGTGATAAAACTCAACCTTTGCTGTAACCTGACTTATGTAAGACATCTGAACAGGGGTGGGGGTACCCACCCTCTAAGCACACAATATCTGCTGCCACATTAGCCAATATCCCTTTTACAAATTATAGCTTTGTAACAAGGGAATTCTTCACTAGTCCCCTTGACCAGAGATCTCACTTCTCAAAGTAAATACTGAAATTTTGAAAACAGAAGTGTATAATCTTATTACATAGCTGAACAACACATGAATGCAGAGGAACCCTCATTGGGAAGGCTTTGTGTTGACATTCCCCAACTACTCCATGGATCCCATAGCAGCCACCAATCACAATTCTATTCCAACTATAAATATTTAGCAACTCAGACAATAATTAATAATAATAATAATAATAATAATAATAGTACTTACTAACATAAGCCATACAACAGAAACCACATGGTTTCTGAACATTTAATACATTTTTTGTAATAAAACTTCTAGTAAAGTAATACTGAATAAATAATTTGGCCAGTGGGATACATTCTGCCCTAATATAATGCTAATTAAATTGCCAAGAAAATAACATGGCATTATAAATAAATTCAGAAGCAAAAAAATTTAGACTCTCATAATTTATGCTAAAGTTGTTAGGTGCTTTTCATTTTATGGAATAAGAATTAGGCACATTAAGGCTCTGTGATAATGGAACATGCTAGAATACTGAAAAGTTAAATTATGGGATGAGATAAGTTGGTAAGGCATTTGTCATGCAAGTATGAGAACCTGACTTCAATCCCCAGAACCCATGTTTTAAAAAAAAAAAAAAAAAAAAAAAAAAAAAAAAAAAAAAAACCTAGTGGCCTCATATGTGTGGGGGAGAGGTATTAAGTTTTGTTTGAAATCATTAAGTTTTAAATAAAGTCTACTTTAATAATTCCAGTGGGGAAATGCCTATCATTTAACAGAAGCTGTTAAATAGCTGACCCACCCCTATTACTATTACGGGTTCGGCTTCAAAAGAGATTTTGTTCTTGATGGAAAACATCATCCTCAGTTACTTAGTGCAGTATTAGGATTTCAAGGTTGGGGGGCGGGGGAGGTGAGTAACCAAGGGAAATTACCTCTTACCTGCACAAATCAGCTTTAGTGGAATTGTCTCATCTTAAGTATGGGATAATTTTTGGAGATGTCATAACCATCATTTGTGTTTTATTCTGGCTGATATTTTTAAATTAACTACCTGGAAAGCCACAACTGAATCAGGCAACCTGGATTTAAAGGATTAAAAAAAATACTGGCTTTACTTATCTTTGAATTCATCAGGGTAAGGAAATTTATTAGACACAGACAGCTTTGTTCTGGGTAGTTCTTTTTAAGGTTCATCTCTGAGCTTCATTTTGCCTAAATTAACAAAAGTGGAAAAACAACAATCTAGACACTTACAGGTGAATTCACCTTTCCCATGTTAACATCCCTTATCTTCCTCGGACCTTGAGGTGATGCTGACTTTGGGTTTTGTGAACATATCTCTGTAGTTGGGGAGTGCTTAGATCGTGCATTGGTTCTGTTTCTGAAGTCAGCTTCATCCTGTGGTGCCTCCTGTCTGGGACACACAATGGTGTGATGGTTGGCGGCTGGCCCACCTCTGCTCTATTGCACACTCTCAGCCTCACCTCAAAGCTGAGCATCTCTAGTTGCAGCCATGTCTCCTTCATGCTAACCACTCTGCTGTGTCACCTGCTTCCTAGCCAAGTAACCCCTCTGTACTTCTGGTCTATAGCTTTTTTCTCCTTCACACTTCAACCTATCGAAGCCCTCTGGGCTACCCCGGTGACACTGGGGTCACAGAAGCCATTCATACTTTCTGGATCCCTCCAGGATGGTACTGAAAACCTCACTAGTTAGTTCTATAGTCCAATAAGGGGAGCCGTTCAGTGACTCTCCATTCTGCCATCTTTGTTGAGGGAGAGGGAGAAAGTACCGCTATACCCTCACCCACACAGCAGCTTGCCCCTGGACACTCTAGCACTGTAGTGACATCTCACAAAGTACTGTTGCATCTCTTCCTTCTTCTTATAATGTCCCACACCATTTGGAGACTCTGCGTGGACTCTGAAAACTGAGTAAATTTGTTTTCTGCTTCTTCGAAAGCAGTCTATCCAAGCCTTTACCTGGTGTGTTTGCCTTGAGAACAACCACTTGCTTTTTCTTCTCTGTCCCATTCTGGCAACATCTTGTGGAGCCAAAAAAGGAAGAAGTTACTGTCTGAAGTTTTGTCTCATTCCATGTAAACAAAAGTGGCCCTTTTCTGACACAGATGAGATATTCCAGTCACATGTGGCTTTCGTATTAGCCCTAGTGGATCAGGACAGCTGTTCCCAAGAATAGATTTAAGTGCCCAGTGAGACAATGTATAGTACTTAACTATCTTTAACTCAGGAGTTTGGAGGGAAGTTAAATGGGCTATTGGCTACCAAAAACGATAAAATGAAAACCAACATTAGTTGATTAACTTGTAAGGACTTCTATGAACTAAGGGGTAAAGATGTTCATAATCGAAGCTCTCCTTCTGAGGGACAAAGGAGAATATACGTCAAGCACACTGACTCAGAGACCAGGTTGAGCATTCTCGGTCTGCATCATGCTGCACTTCCCTCTAGTGAAGGCACATGCTTCACAGAGTTGAGGATTAAATGAGTTCAAACATACAAAGATGTTAGGACGTTTCCTGGGAAGTGTGTCATGAGATGTCCACTAGCATGCTTTGAGGGAACTGGCCCTCCTGAGCCATCTTTGAGAAATCACCACATCAGGGATTATCTGAGTCTGGCATCCTGCTCTGCTTGTGTGCCTGGTCCTCCTCTTCTTCCTTCCTCTTTCTCCTTCTTCTCCTTGTTCTTGCTTTTCTCTCTTTCTTTGCTGCTCTTGAAAATTCTCCACATCTTGTCTTGATCATGGATCAGTCTTCTCAATGGCATGCTTGTCACACCTTGTTTGTCTTTCCCCTTCATGCTGCCCTGCTCAGTGCATACTACCCTCCAACTGTTGACAAAATATCAGGGCTCAGTCAGGTAATTCACCCCAATCAGCATGTGTTGTGTACACCTTTCTCCACTGTCCACTTATTTCATTGACACCCATACTTTCCCATTAAAGCTTTTGTAGCCTGTATACCTTTCAAGCCACCACTGGCTGTGTGAGCCTTGCCCTTCTATACTACTCACATCTGTGAAGCATTCCACAGCTCCCAGGCAGTTTTATCTACATTCATGCCTTCCGTTCTTTTAACTCTTTACGGGGTGACTCATGGGTTTCCAGCCTGCTCCCTGGACTTCCAGGCTAATGTCTTAAGAACATTGCAGCCTCCTATCTTCCAAAATCTAGAAACATGCAGATTTGTAGCACCTTTTGAATATGATGGAGATGCCAGGCTATAGACTGTGTTGATATGAGAAGACACCCCGCCACACACACACACACACACACACACACACACACACACACACAAGTTCCAAAGACAAAAGAGGAATATTCAGCTCTTGGATCACCTGAGTATCAAATCCATTGCTAGGCTATATTGCTTTTCATATCATAAAATACATATCCAGAACTCATACATATTGGAAGTCTACTTGGCCATTTTTTTTTTGGTTCAGTTTTGTTTTGTTTCCTCTCAAGTTTCCATCAGAATTAAAAGGACTCTCTTCAACCTCCACTCACCAGACCATCTTTTTATCCATCATAGGGGAGGTGAGTGCAGTCCTGGACCTTCCAAGAATGTCATAACTGTCCCGATTAGGGACATTACAGATATGGCAGTGTGGAAGATGGAGGTCAAAGGCAAACCAGAGTTTGAAGGCTGATCGTAGGAGATCACATGGCCAGAAAGAGTGATAGCTTCAAAGAGAGAGAGAAAGAGAATGCTATCTTCAGCCAAAGGAGAAGCAGATTCAGGGACAGGGCTGTCTCTTGTGATGAGGTTATTTAACATTTTATATTTAAATATCCGTATTGATAAAGTGATGTTACTGACCTTCCTGTGGTTTGGGAATTAGAAGAAACCTCAACTGTATAAGCCAAGAGCAGACTGGGAAGGAAGGCTTGGTAGTGGAAAGGGAGCCATCTCTAAGGCTTGTGCTGAAGGTGCCAGGAACTGTTTCCAATGGTCTTTCAGGACAAAAGTGCCCCAGTATCATTTTTATTAATATGCATTTTTAATTCCTCCATGTTGCCCTAAACTCCGAATCCCATTCTCTGCACTCCAGGTTCTCTCCTTAATTTTATATTAGAGGTCAGCCATACGTGGCTGAATAAGCTTAGGCTTCACTCTTTCCTGGGTTGGGTGCTAGACACTCAGAGAGAGAAAGCCATGTGTCTAGAGAAGGCCATGCTTCTTTGCGGGGGCAGATGCACACATGTAAGTGGGCACTTGATGCCAGGAGGAGCACTCCCTCTCAGGGAAATGATGTGAGAGCCACACGACGTAATCTAGGCTCGTGATTTCCAGACCTTGGTGCTTCTCCACTGTCGACTGGGCTCCTGAATATTGTGTCCTTGCTTCTGTTGGTGGAGCTATTGAATAGGCCAAGAGGTGCCCTGGTGAGTTTTATCTGTGTGCTCCTCCTCGAGCACAAAGGGGAAAGAAGAGAAGAAGCGCGCGCTATTGGATATTGGTGGTGAACAGAATGTGAATGTGACTTCTGACGTAGGACAGGATGAAGTTGTTTGTTTTTTTTAATCTCATATTTCATGCAGGGCTGGGCTGAGGATGTGGCAGGCATGGCGTATGCCCTACGTTCACTGCCAGAGGGGGCTCCCTGCCTGCCACAGGTGAGAGCCAGCTCTGGGGTGCCTGTCCCTGTGGGGGATGGGGGGGGCTGGAGTGGGCCTGGTGGGGGAGGGGTGGGGAAGGACTGGTTCCCTCACTCTCTGAATCCGCTCTCCTGAATGTATTTTTTCCAGATCGTAAATGGAATCACAACCAATCAAATCCTTACAGTCAGTTTTTCTCACAGCTGTCTCTGGAGCACTATGGAAAAACATGAAACATGCACGCATGTCTACAAAAGCTCAGGCTACCTGCATTTTGTTAAATGACCGAGTCTTGAGGGCTTTATCTGCCCAACAGTCCTCTTCATTTAACAGGAAGCATCAGCTGTGTTGCATAACGGCGCCAACCCCAAACCAAAACAAATTATAGGACATTGGATGATAGCCCTGGAAATAATACATTTTTGTCTTAATGCTCTTATTTCAAAAAGTGTTATCATTTTCACTCTTGCTTCTCAATGTCATATTTCCCTCTCCCCAGTCCTCTATTCATGAACAAAGGGTCCCTTCCTTTGCATGCATGGCGGTTGATCTCTACGGGCCACCACAGAGCTCTTTACAAAGGCCACCCACATTCAAACCACACCACTACTTCCTTCCATTTGGTGGGTCTTTTATTATTATTATTATTTCTCTGATGTCAGTGGTCAGCTCTGCTCACCCCAGACCTCCACATGTCCACATTCTGTAGGTGGCTTTTAGCCCCCAGTACTGAAAACACAGTCACCAGCGAAAGGAACTGTGGTCCGTGGGGTGACCCTAGAACCTTTATCTTAGGTCTAGAGGGGAAAGGCAAACACTTCCCGTGCATGTCTAATGTGTTCAGCCTGTTCTCAGCTAGGTCATGGCAACTCATCCTTTTTGGCTCCTGCGAACAGCCGTCTGACAACCCTCAGAGCTATTGGCTTTCTAGGGCTTCTCACCACCCCTGTTTCTAATCGCCCTTGCCTTCTTCCCTCTTTTGGCAGTGGTCCGTATATATTCGAGCTGCTGTCCGGAAAGAGAAAGGCCTGCCCATTCTGGTGGAGCTCCTCCGAATAGACAATGACCGTGTAGTGTGCGCAGTGGCTACGGCACTCCGGAACATGGCCTTGGATGTCAGAAATAAGGAACTCATTGGTATGTTCTCCAACTCAGTGTCCCAGTTTTTTGTTTTTGTTTTTTCTTTCTTTTTTTCTTGCACAGGTGTGGGGAGGAGGGGCTGAATTCCTCTTGAGAGCATATGCATGAGTGGGAATCTCGTGTTTATTAGGTGCTTTGTGTTTTCCAGCTCTCCTGCTTTGATCAGTGCAATGACCATTCCTTTAGAATTTAAAGAAAAATGTGGTTTCTAATCCTGACAAATGGAAAGGGACCCCCTTACTTCATGTTCAGTCCTGTTATCCCAATAGTCTGAATCTCTGCTGTGCTGTGCTGTTTGTTAGCTTCCTACCTGGTGAAACTAGGAAGCCAGATAGGGTATCTGCTCCCTTTCTCACACTCTCTCTGTCTACTCATTTATATGTTTGGTTCTCTATTCTTGTATTGTTTATGTATTTTCATCCTACTCAAAATGAAATGATCTCCCCTAAGAAATATCAAGGATCTTTTATTATGGGGGCATGAAAGATGTAATATATGCATGTCCTCTTCTACAAATGATTCTTCATTCCCTATTAGTTCCAGGCCTGTTCTAGGTCCAGAGAATTACCAATGAGTGAAACAGACAGGAAGTCTTGGGACACTCCATACAATAACCAAAATAAATAAATTAATCACATGCTGCCTAGACGTGTTCTTCGGGAGCAGTGATAAAGGAGGCTGTCACTGATGAGCTTGAGAGTTTTGTCAGTTGTGTTTAAACTTACATACCCCACTTAATCACTTTAAAATGTACAATTCCATGGCATTTGGTGTTTTTCCAATTCCATATCATTGTCACATCTTGGTTCCAAAACATTTTCCTCAGCCCAAGGGAAGCCCTTTAAGCAGACTGAAAGCTTTAAGTTGAGGACTAAAGGAGAGGGGCTCTGCAGACCTGTAGAGGGAAGAGAATCCAAGCTGAAGGGGCAGCATCTGCAGATGGTGCAGTGTGATGGGATCTGGAACAAGTCAGTGGGTTTGGAGCCTTCAAGAGGCCTTGTGTGTGCAGCAGAGGAAGTAGAGGGATCCTGAGTCAGAGAGGCCTCCCTGTGCCTCTCAATAAGTGGGAAGGTACAAGACAAAGGTCAGTTGATGCCTGGAAACTGAAGGATCCAAAGGAACCTACAGGGGAATGGCACAAGCTCCATAGTTCACTGTCACAAGGGTGGCACTGGAGTTGAGGAGATGGCAGAGTTCCTCTGTACATCCTGTATGACTGCTGGACAGTTTACAGGCTTCCCCCCAACGCATCGAAGCAGGTGACAGTTGTCAGTAGATGGGATCTGGAATCTGAGCAGCAGGGAGCTGGACCAACCACAAAAGCCAAGGTGCAGCTTACTCTACCATCTGGCAAATTTGGAGAAATGGGATATAAGTAGGCAAAGCTCTATCCCTTGAGGAACCAGGCACGCTGTGCTGAAGAGACCCTCAGTAGTCCAGGAACCTGATGCCTCTCCCCTGCTATTTCCCAGTGCATATCAGATCCTCCACTCAGAACCTAGGTATTTGCAGGTCTTCAGCCATTTATTTACTCAGATTAAAACCAGACTTCAGGTTGGTGTCTCTTTAAATGCACTCACTCATCATCCTAACAATATATTATAAAGGACGTAAACTTTTGGATTTGGTATTTGTTCTTGGGTTGGGCTTAATTTTAGGATCTGCAGACCCCATGGGCTTTGTGTATTTAAACTAAGCTAATAGATCAAAAGGTCAAAGGACCCTCTGCATATGCACGTTTCCTTTCCTTAAGTAGTTATTCCAGACAGGACCAGCAACAGGCCTTCCAATAAAAACCTCATAGCTTCTCTGTAACACAGTGGGGAAAAAAAATCAATAGCTAATCAGTCTACTGCCTGGATGCTAAGTACTAGGTATTGTGTGCTTACGTGTTTTATGTCTTCTGTTGGATTAATATATAACAAAATAGTGAACTATCGATTGGCCTCTGGCTCCTGGGTATATCTCCTTTCTCTGAAGCCAGTTGCCCAGTGGTCCATCTGAGCTTGGAAGACTTGAAGCTCCAAATTTTCCATTAAAGTCATCCCTAGCAGATATCACCAAGTAGGAAATGAAGGAAGCCATTCAGAAACAGAGCTGAAAACACTGAAGCCTCAGGCTTTATGAAAGCAGTAACTTGTTTGTGAATGAAAATAATAGAATTTACCAAAATGTTAAGATTCTGTTTAGGAGAAAGCACACTGGACTTTTGTCAACTAGTTGACTCTGACTATTGTATCAAAGTGATTGTTTGTGTCAAGAAATGCCATATAGCACTTTATACAATGAGGAAAAATGCTGACTTTGAACCAAGAATGACAACAACAATAACAACAACAGCAACAAAGAAAGACAAGTGTGGCCGTCTTGTCCTTTTTGTCAAAGGACCTGAAACACCCTGAAAGTGTTGGTGACCTCATCTGGTTCATGACCTTAAAAGATCCTCTTTGTGCAGGTATCCACACACTCTGCCCTCACCAAAGCAAATGTCACTTCCCCAAGAGAAGCTTTGCCTCACACCATACATCAACCCATCCTACCTCCTTCCCGATTGATTTTTAATAAAAATGAACCCTATTTAAGATGGCTTCCCTTAGAGCCTTTCAACTTCATGACAATATACACCCAGAAGAAACTGGTTTGAATTTTTGAATTTTTATTTTATTTCATGCTGATGATTTGTCAACACAGGACAGTGGCATTAAGTGACAACTCCCAATGAGCCGTGGGGAAAAGAACTCATGTCATGCGCTGTGTTGCTCATCTATGATGTTCAGTAAGTTAGGTTATTAAATGCATAGGCTTACAATACTCTCAACTTATAATGGCATGTTTTGACATAGCTCCAACATGATGAAGATCTCCCTATGTAACATTACTTACTGGTCTTGTTTCTGTCCCCTCTATTGGGACACGAGCTAATAAGGAACAGATGCCTTGTCTTATTTTCTGATGTATCCCATGTGCCTAGAACTGTATGTGACCCCCAACAGAGACTTGATAAATATTTGCTGAATGGATAGATAAGATAGAATTTTTCTATCCAACTCTCATCTTATACTCCATATCAGAAAAAAAAAACATTAAGTAAACAAATTAAACAAAACATCAACCAACGAAAAGAATTTTGTGCAGATGAAAACCAGAAAGTCAATCCATTTTCTCCTTAGCTGTTCCATTGCAGGCAGGCACTTGGAATTTCAGAAGGAATCCAGATTTTCTCATAACTGGTTCTTGGGTTTCAATTTAAATCACAACTCTCTTGGACTATTCTCTTAATTGGCATGAGTGCAGGCAGACAGCCACATTTGAACTTGAGAAATAGATCATCTTCAAGGACTCCCTTATCAGGAAGCAGTTGAGTAAGCAATAGTCACACTTCCCCCATTACATCTACTGAGAAGCAAATAGCATCACACTCAGAAGCATAGTAGACTCCCCTCTATTCATCTTCTCACTGGACTGTTTCCATGGTTATGTGTACATCTCTGCAAAGTGATGATAAACGTGCTATAGTCAGATCCTGGATTGTTCTTAATGACATTTGCTCAGTAGCCGAGGTTAATGTACGTACAGACATACTTTGAAACATCCAGAAATGTTAATTATCCTTCTATGTAATGAAGATTGTTGAAAAGAACAGCGATGATTAGCTTCCATGAAAAGGGCGTGCCATCACACCTCACTTCCTTTCTAGTTTGCCTCCTGTTTCAGCACTTGGACAGTTCCCAATGGAGGCCCAATCCCCACCCATCACTGACAAACCCAACATACCAGAAGCCCTTAAGTCATGTGTAACTTTGTACCTCCTGAACTCCCATGTCATTAGAAGCCCAGCTCAGGTATTCTTCCCTGATGAAAACTGTTTCAGAGCTCTGTGGGTAGCAAATACTGGAAAGTCTTTTAGCTATCCATTGTGTGAAATTCACATTTGCACTTCACTGTTCCTTGAAGCAGGGAGGGATCGGGTTAGGAATAGAGTTGTGTTTAATTAGTATTTATATAATACATTATTAGTTTGAAATTTAAATTGCATTCCAAAACTTTTATACACAAGCATTGTCTTTATGTCATAGCTACCCTTTCCTCTCCCCCTCCAATTCCTCCCATGTCCCTCCCCTACTCCCTTCTCAAATTATTGACAACTTATTTAATTATTATTACCACATATGTATACACATACCGGCTAAATCCAGTTAATGTTGTTAGTGTATATATGTGTTTGAAGCTGAGTCCTTGGGATTGGATAACCTATCAGGGTTCATCCCTGAGTTGTACTTATTTTTGTTTTGATATCCCACAATGCATGGAACTTGTGTATGCCCATAAGAGGTACTCAAAATATATCTGCAGGGTGAGTTCAGTCATGGATGAATAGCATAAGTTGCTTATTATGAAGAGCAGATCTAGCAGGGGATTTAAGGAACACAAACGAGATGAGAATGATTGGGGAAATTCCTGGTTCCAACCTTTTCCCATAGACTCCAGGAATACAGAAGGATGGTGCAGACACTTTGTCAAATCCAGGATTCTAAGAGACTCGTGTTCCTGATGATTTAGATGAGATTGGGTGGGAAATAACACTTTCCATGTGTGACTCAGTCACTGCCAAAATCTCTGGGTTGGCAAGGCCCCTGAGTGTGTTGACAGAGAGCATGGAGTGCCTTCCTGGGCAGATCTCTGGCAGGCAGGCCAGGACTGGAATGCTATCAGTGTCCTTCTAACTTTGGTGTATATCCTGAGTTGAAGATAAGAGCCTGTCCATCACTTCATCAGCTAGAGCCTATCTGCCTCTTCCTTCTGACTTGTAAGACTACACACACACACACACACACACACACACACACACACACACACACTAGTGTCTTAGCACGGGGTTACTTGGTCCACCCCACTGTTGTGACCCACAGGAACACAACTCATCCTTGGCTGGTCCTGATGTTATCTGAGCCGTTCTTCACTTTGTCTGAACCTTTTACATTATCAGCTAATCGGGC